CAACACATGATTAAGCATTTAGCCTTTGTTCTGCAGCCAGGATTTCAAACATCCACTTCACTAGTGAGACTATTTTTTCTATAGCATTATGGTAAATAAGATAATAGCAGCCTTGTACGCTCCAAAGACTCAAAAATATTGAAGTGGGTTCCCGGCACTGGCAGCCAGAAGCAATTTTCCCTCCCTCCTCTCTCTCCATCCATGAATACAAGAGCTTTCTTGCCTCACAAGGTACAAAGACAGATACTGTACAACTTCTGTCAGCGAGATACAACTTCTCTTTCCCCCCACAACACAAACAGGTCCCCAAACAGCCAGTCAGGTGCAGGGCTCCCTCATCAATTCTTGTCCCACCTGTTTAAGCATAGCATCCTTGCTCCCAAATCGTGGCAAGCCAGCAGCCCCATCAATAATAAGAACTAAAACGGCACTGCCATCTAAACTGCCACACAGTACTCCATATGCTTACTAGCCAGAAATCGATATGGGTCAGGCAACAAGCAATATCTTAATAACCTCTTCAAGCCCACTAACTGCACCACTGTTACAGTATTCTTAAAACACAGCAGATGTTTCCCTCATGTGCAGCTGATCACTTCCAACCAGGTTGTCAAGACTCAGGCTATATAAAGAGAAGAAAGGGTGAAAGAATCCATGGAGGTGGATTGGAACTTTTAAAAAACAAACAAAAAGAGACCAGGGTTGTTGTTTTTAAAAAATGATGGTCATTTACAAGGGGGAGATCAAGCCCAAGCTCCAAAATTGTGAAATGTTTCTTAGTGATGGGGTGGGGGTTCCCACCACAATAATATTAGATATGGTATTGTATTGGCACCCCAGTACCTCTATATTTTGATTAAAACTTATTGAGTGACCCAAAAGTAAAGCTTAAGATTCGCATATGCTCATATATTCGTGTTAAAAAGGATGTTTTGTAAAACATTAGAGTCTACTCACTCACTCAACAATGCTAATTTATATATTTTTTAAACTACATTCAAAACTCTTCTACAAATTATTGGTAGATATGGGCAATGGATTTTATCAACCAGTAAAGAGAAGCTAAATGATTTCAGTACACTTTGAGCAGGGGCAATTTTTTGCTAAAAGCACCTGTGGTCCAAATGCCTTGCCCGTGGGTAGGTAAACTAAGGCCTGGGGGCCGGATCCGGCCCAATCGCCATCTAAATCTGGCCCGTGGACGGTCTGGGAATCAGCATGTTTTTACATGAGTAGAATGTGTCCTTTTATTTAAAATGCATCTCTGGGTTATTTGTGGGGCATAGGAATTCATTTTTTTTTCTTTTCCAAAATACAGTGGTGCCTCACAAGACGAAATTAATTCGTTCCGCGAGTTTTGTCGTCTCGCGATTTTTTTCGTCTTGCAAAGCACAGTGTCGGGAAAGTTTTGGAAAAGCTTCAAAAATCACCAAAGTCTTTAAAAACCTCAAAAAAGGCTACCACACCGCGTTCTATGAGTTGCTCCTCGAAGTCAAGTCGCAACTGTATTAACGGTGTTAAGAAAAAGGAAACAAATTTGCAAGACGTTTCCGTCTTGCGAAGCAAGCCCATACGGAAAATCGTCTTGCGAAGCAGCTCAAAAAACAAAAAACCCTTTCATCTAGCGAGTTTTTTGTCTTGCGAGGCATTCGTCTTGCGAGGTACCACTGTATAGTCCAGCCCCCCACAAGGTCTGAGGGACAGTGGACCAGCCCCTGCTGGAAAAGTTTGCTGACCTCTGGTCTTGCCAATGGTTTTCCAACACTTTCAAAGTGCTCAAGTAACTTTCTCAGATCTCAAGACTGAGAATGTGTCAAGAGAACAGTAGCTGCTAAGGCCATTAACAACCCACATCTCCACAGGAATCCGTTATTTCTAATTTTGACTGGTGTGCAAAGAGACTGGGACCTGAACTCCCTAATACCTCAAGTAGCACAGGTGTTCTCTGCCTAGAACAGCTGGCACCTGCTAATTAAAAGAAAAACTCAATACAACAGTTTTGCCTTATTTTTGAACAAATTTAAATAACATCTTTTGCAATGCCACTACTGTTAATTCAGTATGGAAGATTCTTTTTCTCCCCTTTCCCAACTATAAACAGTTTGAAGATAGTGGGGTGATTAGAAAATTGAGAATTTTAAAAAATAACGAAAGCAACAATACACTAAAAACCGGGTTTGACTTTGGAAAACATTTGATGGACATCTGCTTTCTCCACTGATAAGATCAGCACAAGGAGCATTCATGCATTTATTTCATTTCTTTTTTTTCCTTTTGAGTTTTCCTTTATGCAACAATGCCCAATACACCCAATAGCTACCTCACCTTCATCATCGGCACAATAAACATTTTATCTGTCCAGTGGATAGTCTGGCTGCATTTTACAGTCTGCCTGTCTTCCCATTTCTATACAGCCCTTCCAATTTTATCCAACAGAACAGAACAGAACAGAATGAAACAGCACTGTGAGTGCCTTCCATAGTATTAGTAAAATTCTTCACTTTCTTTAAAAGAAGATGGAAACCGTAATAACTTGCATGTGACATCACTCTAATTGGTATGTCATAGATACTTAAGGCAATTCATACAGATCAAGCAACTGAGTTGCCATCAATGAGCTTTGTGCCCATTCCCGACTAGACAAATTGTACCACTCTGGCTAAAGTCGAAAAATCAGTGGCTCTGCTGCAGTATCAAGCTTCAGTGGCACTACCGCAGAAATGGCTTGCTTGTTTTTTTCTGGTTCTGACTCACACCATCGCAGATATCAAAAACCAGTATGATACAGTATCTAGAGTTATCTGCAAAATTGACAGTGGTTTTAAAAAATACTTGACCGTCACATATAGTGTCATGGGGTGTTTTTTTAGATGTACATGTAATATAGTTATAACCATTGCTAAAAATATAAAATGTGAATGCCATACATTCACTTAAGAGAGCTGGAACTGGCTATTTCCTCTAAATGGGTATTACACATGATGGCAAACTTGGGTAACATGTGAGGGCCTAATGCAAATGCAGGACTCCCAAGTGCATTGCCTTATAATGCTAATGTAGGAGCATTTGCCAGATGGAATCCAGAATGGCGTGATATAGTGTTTACTTTATCAAATCCCCATTCAGCTTCATGCTGACAGGATGACCTTGGTCCATTCACTCACCCTATTCTACCTCACAGGTTCATTTAAGGATAAGGTGGAAAGGGAGAGAACTGTATACTTCCTTGAGTTCCTTGGAAGAAATGTTATATGGAGTCAGATCACTGATCCATCTAAATCAGTATTGCCTACACTGACTGGCAGTGGCTCTCTGGGGGTTTCAGGCAGGGAGCCTTTCTCAGCCCTACCTGGAGATGCAGAGGATTGAACCTGGAACCTTCTGCATGCAAAGCAGATCGCTGAGGTATGTTCAACAGATAAAATGTTCAAAACCTTTTATTTCATTACATTTTAACCAAATAATCTTAATTGAAATAAAGTTACCTTAAAAGTATTGTCTTAAATAAAATAAAGCAGTCTAAGACTTAATGTATTCCTTTCTGCCTTGTGAAGCCTTTGATTTTATTCAGTAGATTACAAAGATTCTGATCTTTGTGAACTCTTTATTTTCCATCAAGAATGCACGAGGGGTGGGAGAATCAGAACGTCTCTTGTTCCACAGTTACATCTGAGAAAGGACTTCTGAGTCCTTTATGTCTGCCATGAACTTGATCTTTCAGCTGCAGTGAAAATTTTCTTAAAGCTATAATTTTAAAGTTAAATGATGAGAGGTTTCATTTGCTTTCCAAGCAGAGAGAAAAGCTTTTTCAAATAAGACTCCTACTGCCTTGACCTTGGTCTATGACTTAAAGAGTTCACCACATGCAATAATTTACCTTGCCCCATGGGACTCTCCAAGATTTCATTTCTGAAAAGGCTTTAGATTTGGAGGCATCACTAGATCTAAAAATATAATATTCTTTACACTAAGTAACACCTTTTGTGCGTTGAATACAGATTAAAATGAAGAAATTTAGTACAGATTTAAATGCGTAACACCAAATCATGAGAGTCATAAATAGGATTCCTTTAAAGATTTTTAGTAAAGACAGAACATACCTTTAGCATAGAACCACCCAGAAATGATTGGAAAGTAATCCCCTCACCAAAAAGATGATGAGGGGTGAAAATTGGACATGGAGGAAGTCAACCCCTCACCTGGGATCCATTCAGTGAGGAAAGGAGTTTTAAGGACATGTGGCACAGTCCAATCCCCTTCCCCTACCACCACTTCAAACCTACAGATTCCCTTTAGATCCAAAAGGCTGTGTGTCCATGCCTGTCCAGTGGTCTCTGCTGCCAGGCTCCCTACCTGACTTGAGGAGGGGAAGGTAAGTAGGATATTCCTTTAAGGATAGAGGGGCTTCTCTCCTGCTCTCCCTTCATCCTTGTACTGCAGGGAATAATCACTCTATAATGACACTTGATTTGGTCAGAATAGGCCTAACCATCCTGGCTCTGATGAAACTGCAAAGGAGCTATGGCCACGAAGAGACAGGCATTTTGAAAGTTTAAAGGGCATGTATCCCCAAGGTTTCAAAATATTCACCAAAAGTTACACCTCTGCATTTGAAGGTATTGTTATTTGATGGGATCTCAAGTGGTATTTTCATGATCTGTCAGTCAACCTTAAGGAAAGAAAACTTTTGCACAAAAGCATTTTTTAAAAAAAGCAATTAATAAAACAAAACTGTAATCAACTCACCTCATTTCCACCAACAGCTTTGGTTAAAATCACTGCTGAAGACACAGGAGGTGGCATGCAGCCTACTGTCTGCAAACTAAGGGGCAGAAAACATACACAGATACAAATGTAATATTCATTGAAATTAATCACAAAACAACCCATAAAGGAGAATGGGCAAAATTACACACTACATTCAGAAGCCATGAATACCAATATTCTTTGTTTTGTGACTAGAATACAAAAACAGGATAGATTTCTTAACTGAGATGGTATGACAGCTCAGCTGGTAGAGCATGAGACTCTTGATTTCAGGGTTGTAGGTTTAAGCCCCACATCGGATAAAAGATTCCTGCACTGCACGGGGTTGGACTAGATGACCGCCATAGTCCCATCCAACTTCACAATTCTGTGATAAAATAGTTGAATCCACAAAGGCTACCCCATTCACAAGAGTGCAAGTATCTGTATGCTACATGCCCCATGAAAGTAAATGGAGTAGCTCAAACTGTAATGCACAAGTAGATCTGGACTGGGATAATGGGCAACTCATACAAGCTGTTTCTGTATCTGCCCAAGAAGCTAAATATTCCCTTTAAGGAAGACCACATGATCTCCTGATAAATCCATTTGCAGTCTACTGCTCATTCCTTTTCAGATGTATACAGATACATGAGCAGCTTGCAGAAGTCATTCTACACAAAACGGGATAAGAAGCTTTGTTATAAAGCTTTGTTTTTCCTCTGTAAATCGGAATGTTATGATATTCAGTGCAGGGCTCTTGAGGCATAAGCTACAATTCCCTAAACACTTTAACTGTTCAAACTTTATTCATGTTAATGGAGTGTGTGGCAGTAGATTGCTCTGAGGCATGACCTACCAATCTATTAAATTCAAAAAATGTTCCAAGATCCCTCATCAGTTATGGAAAATAATCCATGGAGTGGTGGCTGTAGGATGCTTGTCCTTGTAAATTTTGGCTGGGTCAGGCCTCAGTTCATTCCTAGGTAAACACACTGTCTCTGCTTTGTTTTGTTGCTTTTATTTATTCAGCGTCTAAAATATCTGGGCACTTGGCAATAATTTTTTTAATTAAAAAAAAATCTCTGCTTGCAATCTATTAGGCATGACAGGAAAGGAGATAGAAAACTGTTATTAAAAACTGAAGCCAAGGAATATACTGTACACTGAAAATTGAAATCCAACTTCGCAGATGCTCTGAACTAGACTAACATGCTAAAATCTCTTCCGGTCCTGAACTCAAAGTCTAAGATGACTTCTGCCACAGGGTGTACTCTTACATCCTGTGGCAGGAGTACCAGTCCTACCATTCACAGGAACACAAGGAGGTGCTCACTGCACGCTGTGATTGTGCCATGCATGGTGAAATTCTAGCTTCCAGGTGTAGTCAATACATCTAATTTCCAAACATTTATGTTTGTTCTTTTAAAAAGCATTTTTCTACCCCTTCCAGATTATAGAGAGAAATCTTAATGCAATGTCCTTCAGCTTGGGCCCTTAGATGCTGTTGGACTACAACTCCCATCTTTCCAGGCCAGCTGAGGGATGATGGGAATTGTAGTCCAATGACTTCTGGGGAACCAAGACTGAAGAATACTGCCTTAATGTGAATAATGTTTGGTAAATTTGTACAGGTAGGAGTAACCTAGGAAGGTGGCAAGCCCTGAGAATGAAAGAGCTGAGTAGCTTTTCAGGAACTTCTGCCTTTACATTATAAGTGGTTGTTTCTGCTGGAGATATGGTAATACATGCATTAATTTGAGAAGCTTCCTGAGAGGATGTGCATATAAAGCTTACTTTGAAGCTACTAAGGTTCACTCCCAGAATCTGCTTTCAATATCAAGATTCAGCTCCAGAAACAAGAGGACCCCTGAACACATGCGGAGTACAATTTTCATTATTACATACCCCACCCCCATCCATCATATATCTGGAATTGGAGAAAGTATTCTCTGCTTCAGAGGATGTGGTTTGCAAGCAGGCTTAGCAACAGTGCTGAGAGAAATCTGAAGTGGTCTTAGGGGAGGACCCCTGGTTCGGTGGACGAACATATGTTTTGCCTCCAGGTGCCAGGTTCAATCCTGGAACAAGCAACAGGCCACCAAGTTAAGAGTAGACAATACTGGATGAAATTGACATTAGTCTGACCTAGTATAAGGCAGTTTCATGTGTTCCATCCTCTCTTTGCCCTCTACCCACAAAAAAGGAGACAGAAACATGATCTACCTCAAAGTCAGAAAGTGCTAAAGAATCATAAAGTTGAAAGGAATCTCAAAAGCTATCTGGTCCAGCTCCCTGCTGATGACCCCATGTAAATCTCAAGTACGATTGCTCTCACTATAACATTGCCAGAAGAGAAATAATAACCAGAACACAATGAAAGGACAGAGGAATTGCATCACAAGATCTTCCCTTATGGAAAAGCGCTGTTCATTATGATCACATTCTTGGTATTAATGAACCCTAGTTAGTACAAGAGTCTCAAAGACGACCATGACAATATATTGTATGAGCTAAACAAAACATATCCTATGTGGCAAAGATGAGATCAAGAAATAAAAAGGAGGCAGCATTATTATACCAGAAGTAAACAATAAAATGTTCTTATACAGTATTTAGTAGCCTAATAATATACAATGTAGACTGACAGCCTGTGAATGAGATGTAAGTAATTGCCCTAAACAGAGATATTTGCTGTAATATTTTCTACATACTGGAGTTAAAGTTGAGGGAGTGGCACACAGTTTTGCACTTCAAAAAACCTTCTAAATAGCATTACTGGGAGAAGATGTACAAACAATATTCCTCAAACCACATTTGTTTTGCAACTGTTTTGCGTTGAATTTCTAACAGCTTACCTGCAATTCAACACTTCACTCTCGAATAGTAAAATAAAAACTGTCCTGTTCCTAAGTATTTGGGTCTTATCTTTGTGAATAGTTACACACCAGCGTTTACATTTGTACAGGTGTCTCCCCACTTGTGCGGGGGTTATGTTCTGAGCCCCTGCACGCATAAGCTAAAATCGCCTAAGTGGGAACACCCTCTAAAAAGCCTCTAAACACCCATTTTCTCCCTGCTCTCCAGCTCCCTCTTTTCAGGTTCTCTCTCCACACAACTCTCTCTTCAACTAGAGTTGAAGCTCTGGGGCCAGCTGAAGGCTATGCAGAAAAGCAGCTGGGGTTGTGGGGCTGCACATGTCAGCTACTAGGCAGGGAGCCTGAGCAGCCTTAACAAAGCCCTGCTGCGCCTCCGGTCTCTTTGGGGCTTCCTCTGCCCTCAATGAAGCCCTCTTTGGGCTCAAAACGATTTTTAATCATTTTCCATTTCCACTGCTTGTACGCATGACTGGTGCAGTCATTGGTGTGTGGTTTTTATGGTGTATTTTGAGTATGTTTCAGTTTGTATTCTGATTTTCCTTTTATTATCTGCCATGAGCAATACGCAGATGGAACGGTAGCATACTGGCGCACTAAATAAATAAATAAATGAAGCAGCTATGTTCCTTAGAGGCAAAAAAAGAGTACTTCTAGAAAAGGATACAACTTGAACTGCTTTCATTACAGAATTTAGCTGAATATGCTGCAATATGGAGCTTGATATTTTTTCTTCACATTGACAGCCATATTCATACACTGCAATTTTCTATAGCTCTTGATCTCTGAAAGCATTTACAGATAAAATGGGGGAGGGGCATACTGCATTGAAAAACAATTACCATCATGGCAAAAGACTTTTCTTAGTCAGAATTTGAGAGAGTGAAAAAATAATTCAAGATGCTGGGAAGCTAATAGCTAAAGAGAGAGACCACCATGTAATCTTGCCAGCTCCACTCGCTTTTGGCCCTGGCAGTGCCTGCCATCAACTGTGACCCCTGATTGACTTTTCCCACGGGTCAACAGACCTTCATAGAAAAAAGGTTCCTCACCCCTGCTGTGGAGAGTGAAGCTGCATATTCTGTTTCATACATACTCAAACAGTTAAGTTTCTATTCTACCACCAATTTCCCCCCATTTTTATCCTAGTCCTTGAAACCTAAACTAGCAAATTCAATACAGAAGGCTTGTCAAGAAGAGGCATGATCTGCTGAGTAAGTCCCTACATATAAAATTAGCTGCCAAGTCTTTGGATACATGAGACCAAGATTTTGAAAGAGTAATATTTTGCATACATATTTTTTTTCCAACAGCAAGTGTCAAAGCATGAACGTACGCAGAAAAATCACGTACACAGGAGGGGAAAATCAGCCCTAATGATACCGAAAGCACATTTCTGGAAAAGCAGCCATAAATATTTCACCCTTTAGATGTTAAAACATACCCTTTTAAAAGCCATTCATTTATAGGTGTGATAGATAACAGCTGAAGAAATAGCCATATTGCTGTTGGGAAGAATACAAGTGTGAAGATCTGGACAAAAAGATGCAATTTCACATGCATCAAAGCACTTGTCAGCTCCTACAAAGCAACAAGAGAAGAAGAGGTTGCAGTTTTAACAGCTGAAGTCAGTTCTATTTTGTATTGCTTAAGTTGGTATCATTATTATATATGTCAGATACATATTGCTTCAAAAAGCCTATTCTCCAAATCTGTAAAAAAGGGTCTTTGCTTCACCTCTCCTGATGCATGCAAATTTTAAATCACCCATTGCAAAAACTAAGCATAAGCTAGGTTAATAGTAAAATACACATTCAAATTAAAAATTATAACAACTGGACAGGTGACACCTGTACCTACAATGTTAAAAAATAATAGACCTTAGAGCAGTCTTCTAAAACTTTGGGTCCCCAGGTGTTTTGAGTCCAACTCCCATTATCCCTAGCCAGCATGGCCAACAGTCAGGTATGATGAGAATTACAGTACAACATCTGGTGACCCAGGGTTGGGGAAGGCTGCTTTAGAGCTTTACGTAGCAGCAAGACTTCACCAAAGGCAGCCCTGCCTCCACCCAAAAAAAGACTAGCTAGCATATATACGCATGTATATAAATGGCTAGTCCTAGTGCAATAATATTTTCAATATTTGTCAAGCTATGACCCTAAATAAACAATCCTGTTATCTAAAGCTATTCTAATCCCCCCCCCCAAATGACTTATCAAAAAACCACCCAGTGTTATGTAAGGTGGCTCCAAGCCTACTTTACCACATAAATACTGCAGGACTTGAATTCTGAGCCTCAGATTACACATGGAGAAATAATAAATTGGGAACAAACTTACAACAGCTGGAGATAAGTGGTGATATTAAACACATGTTTACAAAAGCTGCCCACACACCAAGGTCATGCTGCAATGCATAATTAGGAGCGTGGGAAAAACAGGATGTC